GGGTTTATTGACTTAACAAGATTATTAATTTTAAAAGGGGGAATAGGGATATTCAAAAAATTATGGAAACAAGATAGGTTGCTTACAGTGAAAATGCAATCATAAAAAAAAAAAATAATAACTGAAGGTTTGAGACATAGTGTCAAAATTATTTCCTCAAACTACAAATCCCTATTTTGATTCCTTGTCAAAAAGCTAATATTTAGGAGAGTCAAAATTTTAATAATCTTGTTAAGTCAATAAACCCCATTTCCCAGTATTTGATGATTACCTATGTAATGAACAATACACACATACACATCCACACACACAGAAAAAAAAATGCTTAAAACTGAAAGGAGACATTTCAGATCATGTACTATACATATACTTTCAAAAAAACTTTCTCAGCATGCTCAGTTAAATCCTATTTCTTTTGAATAAAAGCTTAGAAAATGTTTTGGGAGCAAAGCTAACTGGAGTGCTATTGTTCCAGATGTAATTATTTAGTAAATGAAAATGTTGGGGTTAAAGGTGGGTAGACTTGGGGTGGTGAATGATTTAGCAAGATACTCAGCAAAAAGATTGGCTATATCTGTACTGTTATTATAGATAATGTTGTTGGAATTCTGAGACTGAGATTGGTTGCACATGGATTTAAATATTTTCCAAAAAGTGTCTGGGTCTTTCTTAGAATTATTTATTGAGGTAAGAAGTTGTCCCTGTTTATGATCCATTGCTGATTAATGAGTAATTAATGATTAATTTATGTATTTTGTTCTATTCTTTGTTGATTAGAATTTTGATTTATCTATCACAGAAAAAAAAAAAGACATCTAAGGTGGCATCTTTTGATATGTTGTTGGATCTGAGACATTAATTTCTATGCATTTAAGTTATGAGCTTTTTTCCTAACAGGAACAACAGCTGGAATAGCAGATTGAATAACAAAAGTTAGTTCTAATGTATGTTTATTAATGGTTTCTGATTACTAATATAGCTTCTATATATGTTTTAAAATCACTCGAGTTAGTTTCTGTAAAATCATGGATTGATATATGGGTTGGCTGTTGAAACGTGGTGTTATGGTATAAGTTAAAGGATATTGGGAGATGGCTCCTCCTATGTGTTTGTGGACCTTGAAATTTGATATATGAGAGAATATATTTGGGGTTACTATTGCTAAATCTAGGATATTTTGAGATTCACCAATAAGTTGCTGGTAATGCAAATTACGTTATTATCTTGAACATATTTCTGTAGTATTAGGCCATTTCTATTAATGTTTCTACTAATAAAGTCGGTGTGCTTTGAGTTTAGGTTGCCAATGATAAAGGTATGAAGGTTATAAGTTAAAATATTTCATGCAAATTTGATGTCTGTTTTGACATAGAGCTTACATATATGACTAATAATCTGATAACTGGAAGATTATTTTGATAAATTTTACATAATGCATACAACTGTACTGTCTTGGGAACTACTTATAATGTTTTTTTAAGTGATTGGAAAATACTCCTCTTTTTCTGATGATTATGGTTTATAATCAGGTAAATTAAACCATGAATTTTCATTAAGGAGTGTTTCGTTTATAGAAATAATATCAATATCCTGGTTATTGCAAAGATCAAAAGTTCAAACTTCTTTTGGTGTATGGAAGGAGACATTTCAGATCATATATTGTAGTTTCAAAAAACACAATACCTTTCTCAGTATTCTTAGTTAAGTCCTGTTTCTTTTGAAGAAAGAAAATGTTCTGGGAACAAATAATATCAAACTATATTTATCTTTAAAACACTAAAATATTAGTGAGGAAGGTTCTATAGCCTTTGTAGTATTTAAATTTGTTCATGACAATGATACATTTCCTCACCTCATTTTTCAACCCTCACACACAACGTGAGTGCTTAACTAACCTAGCTATTGGGCCAGTTCCTTAACATTTGCTAATAATCATTACTAGTAGTGAGACACTTTTTAACAACTAACTCAAACTACATTGTTACTATTAAAAAATAGCATTATACTCGGGAAATTCATAATAATTAGAATATTGACAATATGATCCCTATTCTTCAAAATAAAATGGTCAAGGAAGAATTTGGGAAATTTGACTCACACCCTACATGGTGAAAAATTACAATTTTGATTACCTTCTTTTCTCCAGAAGCTGTGTAAGTATCAACCTAAACTTGTTTCCAACAAAACACTATTCCACAATATAACTCAGCCTGTCTTCTCTGCAAATATTTAAATTGGTTACGTTCACCAATGCTACATTCACATACTCTACCTGGTACAGGTGTTTTCTCTTTTAAAATAAGGCCTAACTCAAGTGGAATATTTACTTGTTGCATAACTCCTGTAATAAATTAGTCTGATTAGTTTGTAAGCTGTCTTAGCAGGATACCAATCTCTTATATTGTCATATTGCTAGGCAACAATCCTAAGTTTCAGAATTGTTTATTCCCCACACAACACAAACCAAACCTCGAAAAATTTAAATGTAACTGTAATGTAAGACACAGTGTGACTGTGACACAGAGGAATGACGTTTACACAATAATTAAATAAGCTTAAAAATAAAATACTTGTAAATGTAACTTATTCGCTAAGCTCCTACAACAGACTGCTACTGAATGCAATTTTTGCATTTATATTCATAATACTGTAACAATCTACAAGTAAACCTGCACTGTAGTCTGAAGACTATCACTATGTTACAACAGCGGAAGTCACGTGTCACTGCTGGCGCGTTTGACACTGGTAGCGTGATTTAAATTTCTCGAATGATCATGAATTATTGGGTAAGCCCGAGTTTGTTCGAGTCGTCCTCTTTTTTAGTATATAAGTTTGGCAGAGAAAGCCAACGGAGAATAATAGAGTGTGTGTTTTGTACTCGTCGAGAGGAAGTTATCGAGATTGTGAATCACTGTAATTTATAGTGTGTATTATAAAAGTTGTTAAGTTTAAAGTGACAAGAAACGAATGACTGTGGAATTACTGTGTACTAAAAGTTTGTATCGAGAAATAATAAACTGCTTTAATCAAAAAAGGACTTGTATCCCTGAAGTTCCTCAGAAATAATTTCTACCAGAAATTAACAAAGAAGCAGATACGCAAAAAGTATATTCGGCTAACTAGTACTAGTAGTAGTAGTAGGGCTGATAGGCTTAGCCGTGTAGTTGTAAGTAGAGCTAACTACTAGTTGCACAGAATATTGAATAAGCAGATGTTCAAATCATGATAAATTAATGGTAAGACTTTGTCACCCTCTCAACTAAATATTCAAATTGTTGTTGTTAACAATTTTTAACAGTGCAAATGTAATCCTACTAGTATTATCAATGTGCCATACTACCACTAGTAGTAGCACCAGTACCCAGATAAAATTTAGACACTGGTGAGACTTTTGCAGTACATAGGGAAGTTTCTAATTTTGAGTGTTAATGCTTCTTAATAACAGAACTGGACACCAAGGGATAAAAGTAACAACAATATCATACAAAGAAAAAAAACCACAAACTAATGTGTTTCTAAACAATAACTTCTCTGTTAAAAATACTAATACTAACAATAGTACTACTAGTATATAATGTTGCGTCAGTGAGGTCACGTGACTATTGTCACGCCACCCATTTTCTAGAACTATCCTGTTCCTTCGGGAGTGCTCTAGCATTTGCTAGATTGGGGGTGGGCTGGTATATATAAGATGGTGACAACGTGACGAGACAATTTGTGTAGGTAGTGAGTACTTGAACTGCAGTCAGAAAGTATTATTGAAGTTCGTTGTTATAGTGTTTGTTATAGAGCGACTGTTGAAAATAAGTGTATCGGTAAAGTTATATTCGGAAAGAATAAACCAGCTTTATTAAGAAAGGACTTGTGTCGCTAAAGTTTAGTCGGAAAGAAGTTACGGAAAATTAATTAACGACTGGAGGCGTAACAATAATATAAACTATAAATATAACTAGACCACCGTGACCTATTTGGTCAACCACTATTCAGAGGTTATGAAGAATTCAAGCTAATTTCAATATTGTACCAAAATGAAGGTTTATTTTGAGATAATTTAATTAAATATTGCAATCTATTCGTGTTATTCATAATTCAAGAAAATATATTTGATTGTTGAGCGGGAGTAAAAGGAAGGACCATTTCATTTTTTCAAACAAGTGAAGTAAGAAGTTTCGTAAAAAAGCGCGAACGGTAGTGTGGATGATTTTTTGACTGAGAAAATAAGCAAACAAACAAAGAATCTCAGAGTTTTAGTAGTATATAGATAGATTCTTCAAGATCTTGTTCTTGTCATCTTACGCCTTTTAATGAAGATGGGAACATTGACAGGGAAATAATGTAATAGCCAATGCTCGGTGAGAGGTTTTCGTTTATAAAATTGTGTTGTTGTTCTGGACGTGATTTTTATTTTATTACCTCGTCTCCATAGTTACTATTTGCAAATAGTCAATAATATTGTAGGTCCATTTTATTGTTGTTCTTTCTACGCGCCTTTATAACACAATTTCATCTCATCATTTAATTTCTGTTGTGCATATATTATTGTATAGAAGATATTTTAAAGTGGTTCATCAGGTGGAAAACGAATAAATAGATATTCGGTGACGAGGAACCCACTTTGAGATTAATAATGGCTGGAGACGGCTTGAATGGGTAATGAAGAAAAAGTTTAATATAACAGCAAATGTACAATGTTTCGACAAGGTTTTGTCATCATCTGGTACAAGTAATTTACACTGACACGGATATATATATATATACAGTATTGAAC